TTGGTAATGACTCTAGTCCAGCAGTCATCTCCAAATCTCATTACATGTCCAGCCCATCTGATTTTCGATGACTTGGCAAACGAGACAGTGTCCCTGATTCTTGACCGTCGACAGAGGTCGGAACTCCAGATTCTTTCTCTCATTTGAGTGAAACGTGATACTCCAATCATAACTCTTTTGATTCCTCTTTGGGAGACCCAAATAGAGTTCTCATCCTGTTTTTGTAGGGCCCAGGTCTCTGAGGCATATGTGTATCCATTTCAGAATCCTCCGTGAGTTGTATTACAGATTCACTACTAGGATCTCACCATTCTACAAAGAAGTGATCATCCATGTCAAGAGAGGGGTTCAGCAGGGTGATAACATTTCTCTGAAACTCTTCAGTGCCACCCTCAAGAACGTCATGTGACCACTGGAATGGGAAGGAGTGAGAGTGCAGATAGACAGTCAGTAACTACACCACCTCCGCTTTGCTGATGACATCATTCTAATAACACCAAAACTTTAGCTAAGCAGCACAAATGTTGGCCGACTACAACCGTGAGTGTGGAAAGGTCGGACTCCAGCTGAATCTCACGAAGACAATGTTCATGAGAAACAGTCTTGTTCCTGACATTTCATTCGCTCTCAACGGAATGAATATCTCCGAATGCAACAGTTATGCGTACCTAGGTCGAGAAGTCAACATGACGAATGATCTAGCATCTGAGTTGCACAGGAGGAAGAGAGCAGCTTGGAACGCCTTCAAGAACGTTGAAGAAATAGCTAAGAGGATGAAGAACCTCTGGCTCCAGGCACATCTCTTTGATTCCGCTGTTCTTCTTTTTTAACAAATTATGCTGGCAAAACTGGACAGCCACATGCATAAAACTGGGCTTAGGTCTCTGCCTAACACCATGTACAAAAGTAAGATCAAAATGGATTAAAGATCTCAACATCAGACCAGAATCCATAAGGTACATTGAAGATAAAGTTGGCAAAACCCTCCATGACACTGAAACTAATGGTATCTTCAAAGATGTCACACCACTGGCCAAGCCAGTGAAAACAGAGATAGACAAATGGGACTATCTTAAACTAAGAAGCTTCAGCACCTCAAAAGAAACAGTGACCAAAATACAAAGACAGCCTACAGAATGGGAAAGGATATTCACCAAATACACACTTGAAAAGGGGTTGATATCAAGGATATACAAGTTCTGGTTGAACTCCACCAGAAGAAAACATCCACCCCCATAAAAAAAATGGGGCGATGAAATGAACAGAAACTTTCTCAAAGAAGAAATCCGAATGGCTAAAAGGCACATGAGAAAATGCTCTACATCATTAATCATCAGGGAGATGCAGATCAAGACACCAATGAGATATCATTTCACACCACAGAGACTGGCCCACATCCAAAAGAACAAATCAGCCAGTGTTGGCGCGGATGTGGCAAGAAAGGGACCCTCCTTCACTGCTGGTGGGAATGCCGACTGGTTCAGCCCTTTTGGAAAACAGTATGGATGATTCTCAAAAAATTAGAAATTGAGTTCCCATTTGACCCAGCAATACCACTCCTGGGAATATATCCCAGAGAGGCAAAAAAGTATAGTCGAAGTGACATCTGCACTTGTGTGTTCATTGCAGCACTGTTTACAATATGAGAAAAATATGAATATGAGAAAAAATCTGAGTACCCGAGAACAGATGACTGGTTAAAGAAACTTTGGTACATTTACACAATGGAGTACTATGTAGCTGTTTGAAAAGATGAAATCATGAAATTTACATACAAGTGGTACTACATGGAAAGTAGCATACTAAGCGAAATGAGTCAGAAAGAGAGGGACAGACCTAGAAAGAGTGCATTCATCTGGGGAACATAAAGTAACAAATTAGGAGACTAACACCCAAGAATAGCCGAGATAAGTACCAGGAGGTTTACTCCATGGCTTGGAGGCCAGCCACACACGCTAGGGGAAAAGGCAGCTCAGATAGAGAAGGGAGCACCAAATGAAGGGTGTTGGGAGGATCCTCCCAGGATGGGAGATGCGTGCTGAGAGTAGAGTATAGATGGAACATGATTGACACTCAATGCCTCTTTTGCAAACCACAGTGCCCAAAAGGAGAGAGAGAACAAAAGGGAATGCCCTGCCACAGAGGCAGGGTGGGGTGGGGGGGATGGAGGATGGGAGGGATACTGGGATCAGTGGTGGTGGAGAATGGGCACTGGTGGATTGTATAACTGAAACCCAAGCACAAAAATTTGTAAGTCTACAACTGTACCTCATGGTGTTTCACTAATAAAAATTTTTTTAAAAAATTTTCTTTTTAATTTTATTGCTTTCAGTTTTAATTTCTAATATTTTTAACTTTTTCTTGCTTTGGACTAAATTAGCTCCTTTTTCCTATTTTCTTAAGATGAAAATTAATTTATTTTAGATATTTCTTAATAGCTAATTTTATAAACCAACCTCTAAGAATTGCTTTTTCTGTATCCTACAACTTTTGATGTCATGTTTTCAAATTAAAAATATTTAGAATTTTTTTCAGAAATTTCTCTTTTGATCCATGTATTATTTAGAAGTGTACTGTTGAACAGAGAATATACAGAGGTTTAGATGCTTGCCTTGCACAGGACTAACCCCAATTCAATCCCTGGCACTGCTTATGGTCCTCTGAATACCACTAGGTCCCCTGAACACAGAGCCAGGAGTAAACCCTAAGCAGTGCCTGCTGTCCCCCCAAAAATAACAAAAGCATGCTACTTAATTTACATTATTTTGAGATTTTCCACTTGCCTTTCTATTATTCATTTTTGCATTTTTAGAATATATGTTATTTTTGGTTTGCTAGTAATTGTTCTTTAGTTTGTTCATTTTGGGTCATACCTGACAACTGTTGTATATTCATGGTCCAGAATGTGATCAGTCTTAAAGAATACCTCATTTGAGCTTGGAAGAATGTGTTTTCTGCCCTTGCTGGATTAAAAAAAAAATCTACATATGTCTGTTGTATCCCTGTGATTAACAGTGTTGTTAAATTCATTTTGTTTTGTTTGGGAGGATTTTGTTTTGGTTTTGGACCACACCCAGCAGTGTTCAGGGTTTATGCCTGGCTCTGACCACAGGGATCATTCCTGGCAACTCTGGGGCCCACATGAGTTGCTGGGGACAGCATTGTTCAGGGAAAGCCCCCTTCCTGCTATACAATCGCTCTGGCCTCCATGTTCTTACTGAGCTTCTGCTTGCTGGCTTTGCCCATATGTTAGAGTAGGTGGATGTATTGTTCAACTATATTGCAGATCCACCTGATGTCCGGTGGGTCCTGTGGATGGCTCGTGAAGTGGGGGGGAGGAGAAAGACGGTCACTTTCTCCTGATCTGCCTCTGCCACCCAGGACCTAGGGTTACTGGGTTCTTGTATCGCCCCCGCAGAAAGTAATTTCAGGAGGAAAAATTTCAGCAGTGAAAGTACACAGTTTTTATTTGGAAGTTTTGAAGGGAAGGAGGGAGGGAAACTGTGAGAGAGTGGAGAGTAACTCAAGAGAGTGGGCAAGACAGAACCCGGGCTTCTCCAAGGGCGGAGAGAGCCCCTACATACATCCCAGAATTAGATATGAAAGCACGAAAGTACACATCTCAAGACCAGAGATGGCTACGACACATGTGCTCAGGCACCACATGTGGTTGACCTCTGGGCACAAGCAGCATATGAGAGGGCTTCCTTTGTCCAAGGTGGTCTTTATAGGATTTCTCCAACCTGCCCCCACAAGGCCCTTCTACCTAGGTAAAAGTCCCTTGCTAAGATTACCAAGTGGCTTGGGAGTGGTGGTGATCTTTGAAATTCCTTTCCTGGGCTTTTGATCCCGCTGGAGCTTCTGTTGGAGGAGGGGTTTAGCATCCTCAGGGTCTATTACTACTGGCACTGGCACCAGTTCTCCATGAGGTCAGGGCTATTATTATATCCCAAGAAATTTACTCCATTGCCTGGGATCAGGGAAGGGTCGGTCCCTATCTGCCTGCCTGCCTACATCACACCGGTCTCCTTAAAGTTCCATCAGCTTTGTTTTTCAAGCTTGATGTTTATTGAGAATTATTTGCCTTCTTGGAGAACTCAACCCTTTGCTGTTATGCAATCTATGTAAATTACATGACTACTCTTCTTACTTTGAAGTCACTCTGCTCACGTAAGTGATAGCATTATATTTTATTCCTTCCATTTACTTCAAGATTTGTCTTTACTAAAGATTTATCTTTATGTTTAAAGTACATTTCTTATAGACAGTATATAGTAGTTTTCTTCTCCACTATGACGTATTCTCCACTTCTATACTTCTCCACTATTCTATACTTCTCCTCTAAGTATTTACATCTCCTATACTTCGTGTATGTAGACCACTGACACTCAAAACTAATATTCAAAAGTGAAAAAGAAATGCGTTTCCACACCAATGCGTTTTTGAAATCGCTTGCCTCCTTGCCAGGACCACCCCCGCTCCCCCTTCCCCCCCACCCCTCCAATCTCCACTGCCTGGGTGAGCAATCCCCCCACTCACAGCCAACCAACCCCTAGAGGGCCACTGCGGGCCAGGGAGATGCGATTCCGCCTCCCCAGCCCTGCCCTCCTCTCCTCGGGTGAATTGGCTGGACCGGCTTGTAGCCACGCCCCTCGAGGAAAGTTCTGCGCCTTGCTTCTGCAGGCGTTCCCTTAGCAACACTGTACATAAACGTAGCCAAAGCGCACGCGCAATATGTACTACGGCAAATGTGAGCAGGGATGGAGAAAAGGAGGGCAGGAGGAGGAAGGGGAGCCAGAAAAGGATAAGGGGTGGTGGTGGGATGCGGAAGTAGGGGTGGGGGAGGGGATGTTGGTGATGCTTTGGCTCCTGTCTACAGTGAGGTGGGCTTTGTCTTCTGAGCCTGGTGGCATCTCTTGTCTCCCACCTGCTCCCAACATCCTCACTTAGGGTGAGAGGCTTCCACTTATGGTGAATTTCTACTTTTTCTTGACCTTCAGACAAGCAGGTTAGCCACCCTTTTGGAACATGTCAACCAAGGAAGCTCTTCCCCTTCCACGGTCCCTTAACCTTGTTGGGGCACGCGTTTCTTCCCATCAGGGGAGCGCCCCACAGAGGGCCTGGATACAACATTATAGAAGATGTAAGTATTTACCTTCCCTTCGGTGTGTGTGTGTGTGGGGGGGGTCTCTCTCTCTTCTTTTTTGTTATCTAAAGAAAACGGGATTTTATGGAACAAAGGCTGTGATTTGGCATCTGTAGGGTTCCACACCAGTAGGTGCCTGGTCCTCTGCAACCATCTGCAGGAGTTAATGTCAGAAATTAGAAGAAATTTGTTCCCCTTTTGTGTACCCACCAAATGCAAGCCTTAATGCTATAACGTCTCTAATATATTCTCTGCTCCATCCCCACCTGTAAGCCAATGCCGCATTAGGCCAAAACTAGAGTTTTGGTATGCTGGCCGATCAGTTTCTGAAATATTATCAGACTGACAGTTGCATTGGAGCATATTCAACTCTGTGGCACTCAGAGGAGTGGATTCACTGAAATACACAGTAATGTTACTGACCCTACCTATTAAACCACATTCCTTGTACACATTTTTGTTATGTAATTATTTGTGTGGTCTTGACTGGGAAGAATCAATACCAGAAAAGAAAATCAACTTCTGCAGGTAAACATTGCAAATTCACTTTATTTGATAATAATATTCTCTGTGGTTTGGTTTTTGTTTGTTGTTGGGCTTTTGTTTGTTTTGTTTGTTTTTTCACTTTTTCCCCTGTACTCTATCTAAAGACCTGTGGCTTGGCATACAACCTCAGCAAAATCCCAACCAGCAAAAAAGGATATTCATGTGGAGCCAGAACAACAAGAAGATTTAAAGCATTAAGCAAGGTTAGAAGTGATAATTCTTAATTTTTAGTGTGCTCCATGTTGTTGTTCTGTATATGCATGGGAGAGCAAAGCACAGAGAGTGGCAGGCTACCTAAAATTTTAAAAAATGACATTTAAGAGAAAGCTATTAAAAACCTATATGAAAATTTGGAACATTTGCATTGCAAATGTGACCATGCAAATGTCCTGGGAAAATGGAAAACAATTTTCAGAGGAAACTGTACCAAGGTAGTATTAGTGTTGAGATACCTTACTTAAAATACTGGAATCTTTGTTTATAAGCATCATATTATCATTTCATTAGAGAAAAAAATAGTTCTGGGCCCAGGGATGGAGCTTAAACGGTAAAGCACATATCTTTCATGCTCAAGACCCTGGGTCCATTGTTGAGAGCCACGCTGCATAACCTCCAAGCACCACTGGATGTGACCCTGCAAATTTCCAGCACTATTAGGTTCAAGCACCACTATAAAAACAAAACAAAACAAAACCAAAACCCTCAAACTTATTCACCCTTTGTGTGTTTGAATTTCAAGTGAAATTCTTAAGTACATCATCTTACTCTTGATGAGCATTCTCATGACAAGTTCAAGGAGTCTTGACACTGGCTCTTTAAAAATCTCTAAATGGTATTAAAGAATTAGTACAGCTTATAGGGCTGGAGTGATAGCACAGTGGTAGGGCGTTTGCCTTGCACGCAGCCAACATGGCCGACCCGAGTTCAATTCCTCCGCCCCTCTCAGAGAGCCTGGCAAGCTACCGAGAGTATCTCGCCCACACGGCAAAGCCTGGCAAGCGACCCGTGATGTATTCAATATGCCAAACACAGTAACAACAAGTCTCATGATGGAGACATTACTGGGCCCGCTCAAGCAAATCGATGAACAACAGGAGGACAGTGACAGTGACAGTGACAGTACAGTCTATAGGGTGCTTACCTTACATGTGGCTGACTGGGATTTGATTTCCGGAACCACACATGGTCCCCAAGTCCACCAGGAGTGGTCCCTAAGTGCAGAGCCAAGAGTAAGCCCCGAGCACTGCCAGGTGTGGCCCAAAGACAAATACTTCAAATAGCTTGGTACGGGTAATAGCTGCAATAGGTTATCTGCTTCTCTACCTACCTTGGGTCTATTTGCATGGCGTAAATATTATTTATCTTTAGATAACTGGACCTTATCTTGGTTTCTCTCTACTACTCACCTATTTATATAGTTTGAAGTGCTTAAACCATAATTCATACAAGAATAGAAAGATTAAAAAATAAAATTCTGTTTTTGTACTTAGAAGTTTCTTTATGTATATATCACCCTCTTTAATAAATTGATATTTTTTGGGAACAGGATCTGACACCTGATCCATGCAAATACCAGAGTATACAGGATCAAAAATACAAACAAAATTTTGCTCCATTTAATGTCTTGACACCTCGATTTAAGACACACTTAAAGAACACTTACCCTGGGTAAGTCTCCCCTTTCCGGATACAACTCAGCAAAGAGCAATAGGACAGAAAGTAATCCGAATGAGTTCCATTTACTCTCTACCAATCGAGAAACAACCTATCTTCAAAGAGTTAATCTCTTACCTGCCATATCCTGGGCATTATGGAATATAAATCAGTGATTTATTCAATAAATATCTGATAAACACTTCAAATGCCAGAATTTTGCATTGAACCTATTATACCAGATACTATTTCTGAAAAATCTATTTTGGAGTCCAGACTGAAAATAAAGTTGAGAAGGAAATAAAAAAGAAAATACCAATGGTAAAAAGGAGACAGTGATAGTGTAATTCATTAGTGCAATATTTCTGAGAGCAAATAAAGGGATATTATTAATGGCTACACCAAGACAATGCTCAGGAGCTAGTACTGTCAATGGTAAACCAGAAAATATGGTGACTTGGTGATGTGCACTAAAAAAATGCAACAAGTTAATGATATAATAAGAAGTGATTTAGTGGAGGATTTAGCTGTTGATTTGAAGTCAAAAAGACAAATCTGAACCAGCCCTGTAAATATCTGGGCTAATAGATCCCAAGAGAAAGAAACAGAAAATGCAAAAGCAGTAATCTGGAATGAGATTTGTCGTGAGGAAAAAAGGTTCAAGAATGGCTGTAGAAGTCTGCACGAAGAGGAAATAACAGAAAAGGAAGGGAAATATAGAGGTAGAGTATGTAGACCTTGATCCCAAGGGTGTATGTAAGTGCCATAAGAATACATGAATTTTTAGGGCAAATCCTGATGGTCATTCTTTCACTAATGAGAAATCCAATGATCAAAGAGAGGATGTCACTTTCTCAAGGTTGCAGTAAGGAAGACTGTGTCCACTCCATTATTTTCACCACAGCAATGGGCATACTTACTAAGTTATAGAAATTTTAGAGTCAAACTTTATTCTTCCTGTAGTCAAAACCTAGTTAAATCTTTACCACTAACACCTACTTATAAATACAAGCAAAAGGAATCCCAGGTTTGTCCCATGTTAAATAGCTAATCAGTCTAACTCCTTTCCTAAGAAGTTAGATCTACTTTAGAAGTAGATGTAGTACTGGTGAAATTTATATATTGTTACTTTCTCATTAGACATGATTCTTTACGTTTAATTTCTAGCCCTGGTACATACAATCCAGAGAAAAAGTCACCCTCCAAAGTCACCTGGCCAATGAAATTTGGAGCTCCAGATTGGGCTCAGGTTCCACATCTACAGAGAAGAACCCTAAAAACTGAGGTAATGTTAGATTTTTGAAATCTATTGAATAGTTTCTTTTGTTTTAGAAACTTGAAGCCAAGAAGTGATGAAAGAGCTTCAAGAACCCCTTGTTTGCAGAGCTAGAACACTGATATCACTGAGCTTCCTCAGGCCTCTGTGCTGCCTATCCCTCCCTCTTCCCCATCCTAGGCAACGTCTGCCTATTTTCTATCATTATAGATGTGGTTTTATTTTGAAGGACAGTGTATGAATGAAAGCAGATAGGATGCCTTCTTTTTAAAAAAGAATAAGAAAAGAACTACTTGTTTCCTTGAAATTTATGTGCATGTGCCTAAAAGGTACTTTTTGAAGAGTTATACAATTTCATGAGATTTCTTTAAGGTGCATATGTATTTAAAGAAAAGTCATGTTTTTTTTTTTAACTATCAAGTGATATTCTGTGGGTAGATGGAAAATTATCCCCATATGATTGAGGAAGAAAGCAAGGTTTGGGTGGATTGATTTGTGTAGATTACACAGCCTGAGTTTTAGATATTGCCAACATACCACATGAACATGAGATCACCAAAAATTTGTCTAATATTTTGTTGAGACCATGGATTCTGGGCACTGACTGCCTGGGTTCAAACACCAGGACCAGTATTTACTTATGTGATTCTGGGCAAGTCCTTTAATTTTTCTATGTCTTATTTTTCTTTTCTATGATAATCACAATCAGTCTGATAAGGTTGTAAAGATTGATATCACCTAGAAGGGCATTTGACACAGGAGTTACTCCTGAGCACTGCCAAGTGTAACTGAGAAAAAAAAGAAAAAGGGAAAACACTAAATATATAATCTAGGTTTTCAGTAAGTTTGCCAACTATACCTAAGGGTATAGTTTCCAAGAGAAAAACAAATTTTAGCACAATATACTGCAAAGTAAAATGACAAGAAGTTGATCTGTCATGTTGAAAGAACAGCTCATCTATATTCCCGTGGGTTTGGGGTTGAGCTACAACTATATACTGGCTACAACTATACTGTGGGGTTGAGATTGAGCTACAACTATATACTGGCTACAACTATACTGTGGGGTTGAGATTGAGCTACAACTATATACTGGATACAACTATAGTGTGATGTTATATTTTGCATAGATTAGAACAGCCATATGCAGAGGGTTCTTATGAGAATATTGGCTTTGACACTATTCTTTCATTGCAGCTCTCCACAGACAAAGAATTTAGAAAGCATCGAAACCGTATGGCCTACTTAAGCTTGTATTATTAAGGGTCTGTGACTCCCTTCATGTGTTCCTCCTGCCCACCCAATCTCCAGGATTGAGGACACAACTCCTCTTTCTTCTCTTCATCACTTCCATCATGTCTACCAGCATGAGACCCAGCCTGGGGCAAAGAACTCATAACTACTGCACAGGAACATAAAGATTTATTCTGAGTGTCTCATCTCTGTATTTTTCTTTTTTATGATAATACTGATAGTACTGAGTTGTATCCACATGGGGACAAGTGGCTAGAATGTGGGGTTTTAATTAAATTTTCAATGAATTGATTCTTTTCACTGAAATATGGCTTCACAATTTCTAATTCATTCTTTATTGGGGGCTGGGGCCTGGACCACACCTTGCAGTTCTGACTTGACTCCTGGCTCTGTTTAGGGATCACTCTTGGAGGTTTTGGGGAATCATATGTGATGCTAGAGATTGAACTCAGGTCAGGCATGTAAAAGACAAGTGCCTTACCTGCTGTACTATCTCTCTCATCCTAAGTATACTTTTAAGGTACGAGTTTTATGCTTTCTGTTAGCTCTAGCCTGGGAATGAACTGTAAACATACAACATATCTGATTGGAATTTTGTTTTTTTCTGGGCTTATATTTCAGCTTACCAGATACAGAGGCCAGATGCTTGATCCTTTAAAGGCAGGATCAAGCATGTTTCAGGAACTCTGAAAAATTTCTCAATTTCTTCATAATGCAGTATGAAGGTCTTGATTTGTCTTTTCCAGATATATAAAGCTCACAGAAATAAGAATCCTCCCCATGTTTTCTTATTATTTCTAGTCGGTCTTAACAGATTGAGTTCCTACCAGTAGAGTGCAAGTTCTGGGGATATAGCAATAATCAAAATAGATCCATTCCCTAGCTGGTGTGAAGGAAGAAGGAGACTCTCCAGGGAGGTAAGTGGATTGGCTTTTCATGGTCATGGTCCTCCCATTGTTCATCAATTTGCTCGAGCGGGCCCAGTAACGTCTCCATCGTGAGACTTCTTGTTACTGTGTTTGGCATATCGAATACATCACGGGTAGCTTGCCAGGCTCTGCCATGCGGGCGAGATACTCTCGGTAGCTTGCCAGGCTCTCCGAGAGGGGCAGAGGAATCAAACTTGGGTCAGCCATGTTGACCGCTTGTAAGGCAAACGCCCTATCCGCTGTGCTATCGCTATAGCCCTGGCTTTTCACACTCACATATAAATGAATGACTTCCTTTAACCTCACAAGTTAGTCTGAGATGGGAGAAAGGAGTACGTTTCCAGCATATTTCTATAGCTAGTTGTTTCATAATGATAATGGCTTTTATATATCTTTATAAGTGTGTTTGGGCCGGAGTGATAGCATAGCGGGTAGGGCGTTTGCCTTGCACGCAGCTGACCTGGGTTCGATTCCTCTGCCCCTCTCAGATCCTGGCAAGCTTCCGACCGCACGGAAAAGCCTGTGACGTATTTGATATGCCAAAAACGGTAACAACAAGTCTCACAATGGAGATGTTACAGGTGCCCGCTCGAGCACATTGATGAATAATGGGAGGATGGTGCTACAGTGACAGTGCTATAAGTGTGTTTATTATATAAAAGGGTAAGCCCTTGGGCCAGAGAGATTGTACAGTGGATAGGATACTTCCCTTGCAAGTGGCCAACCCAGGTTTGATTCCTGGCATGCTATTTGGTCCCCTAAGCATTGCCAGGGGTGATTCCTGAGTGCATAGCCAGGAGTAATCCCTGAGCATTTTAGGTGTGGCCCCAAATAGGAACAACAAAAAAAGAGTAAACCCTTATTAAGCTACTGTTGTAGAGGGGAAAATCTTCCAATGTGACACAGATTGATTAATGTATACATGCACTACACCACTGTTGGAAGATGTTATTCATATGTAGCACAAGACAATTATTGGCAAATATTTTACTGATACTTTAAATTCAAGGCCAAGTACAACACTGGCAGTTCTCATCAAAAACCAAACCTTGGGCACAACTGAAATGGAAGGTCTTGCCTCCCACACACTTGTAGAATTTGGTGTTGTCTTCAGGATCAGTGTAGGTGCCATCTGCTTTACCGGTACAGAAACTTCCATCTCCTCCACTGCCCCCATCACCACCACTGCCCCCGTTACCACCACTGCCTCCACCACTTTCTCCTTCACCACCACTGCCTCCACCAACATTGGCACAGAAACCTTCACTTCTTGTTGTCACTGGGCTGTTATACCAGGTGTTGGCAGCTCTTGGGGTGCATTCTAAAAGAAGAAAAATCATTAAAAATAAAACATTCTTTAGGGCAGCATCAGTAGCTATTTTAAACACAGAAGCAAATGTACTAGAGACAGCTATTGGTTTAGTTTGCAGAAAACTTAAACCCTGTGAGGACTTAAAAATTTAGCTGGGAAGGAAGCAGAAGTCTAAATCAGGTAGGAAAGGAGAAAAGGAGCAACTGGAGTGTAGGTATGTTCATCATGACTTCCGCTAGTTTCATTTGAGGGAAATGAAGCCAGCCCTACAGTGAGAGGGTCCAGGATATGATGTTGGGGGTTAACTCCTATTTTAGAATTAATAGGAGAGATCTGACGTGTAAATGTTTCTGTCATAATGCTTTTCAGGTTTTGTCACCTCACTTTATTTTGTCATCTACTTTACTCTTGTTTCAACGTTGCTTTTTCTCTGGTGATTCAGTTGGGGTTTTTTTTTTTTGGTTTTTTTTTGGGGGGGGTTGGGTTTTTTTTGGGTTTTTTTTTTTGCTTTTTGGGTCACACCTGGCAATGCACAGGGGTTACTCCTGGCTCTGCACTCAGGAATTACTCCTGACAGTGCTCAGGGGACCATATGGGATGCTGGGAATTGAACCTGGGTTGGCCACGTGCAAGGCAAACGTCCTACCCGCTGTGCTATCACTCCAGCACCAGATTCAGATATTTTAAATGCATTTTACTCTGCAAATACAATGCTCTTAAGCTCTGTAATTTGCCGCCTCTATTCCCTCACTGTAAATTTGAGTAAGTCATTCTATAATTATCTCAATCTATAATTAGATTCTTCACAGTTCTAAGAATCAGTGATCCTGGTAATTTTCTCAACATAAAGACCAAAGAAACCTTTTCTGACTTCTGCTTTTCCACCACTATGTGTCGACCTGTTCACAAAGAGCAAGGAAGAGCATGAGTTTCCCTGTTTATACTGCGCAACCATCAGCGATGTCAGACTTTATCCCTCCTCCTCTTCAAGCTTCAAGCCCTAACTCTGACCTCTCTCTCATAACATGCAAACAACAGCATCAGTGTGTCTTAGGCAGGTGGAGAACGGGCTATATATGCTGATTACTCTACATTCATATCTGGTGTGCTGCAGTAAGAGGGCCAGGTCAGCACATTTGTGTTTCAGACTCACTTTCAGGAGTCTAAATTTCCCATTATTCTCCCGAGACTGAACTTTTCCGCACAGGAAGACTTCTAAACTATCAAGTAAGTTCAAACTCTTGCCCGTGTTAATTATTGAACTTAGTCTGGTCTCTCATTGGAACATTTCTGCAAAGGTCCTTTCTATCACCATATTATTCGTCAAGTGTGAGAGCCTAGATGCTGTGATTCTGCTTTGTGATCTCCAGCCCCTTTGCATTTGCTGTTCTTTCAAGCTTAATTTGTGCAATTTTTGGAACATGTGTTGACCTCAGCAACATACCTGAGGACAGGCCCAGAAGTGACTTCAGCTTGTTGATAAGTGGGTATTTGCCCTCATTGCAGAAGGAGCCTGAGAAATCATCCAGGTCAATGGCCCAAACCATGGCTCCACCAAATTTGTTCTCCTTAAGAAAATCAACCTGTGGACAGAAAGAATGTTTAGCAACCAGACTCCAGTGCCTGATGTCTATGCAACAAAAGGATATGAGGTATCAAGAGTGACAGAGAATGCAGATGGGACTTTCAATACATTTTCTTTAATGAAAGAGTATGCGTCTTGGGGCAAAGAGAGTACAGTAGGAAGGGTGCCTACCTTGTATGAGATTAGCCCAGGCTTGATCCCTGGCATACCTTATGATCCCCCAAGCCTGTTAGGGGTGATCCCTAAACCCAGGACCAGGAATAAGTCCTGAATACAACCAGGTGTGACCCAAAAACAAAAAAGAAAGAAAGCATATGTCCTATAGATTATGTGGATTCAAAACAAGTGATTAGCTAACTTAGTTTGATTGTTTTCTTGCTCCAGATAATAAGTTCTTGGGCCACTATATGAACAGGGCTAATACTTAATGTTAGTTTTAGACTAAGTTATACTTTTACTTCCATTACTCAATCTTCACCAGAACTGTAAGATATAAATTATCATCATTACTCTTCCACAGACTTGTGGGAAATTATCCAGTCTCCGATTCAGGAAACATAACCAGGTATATTTGAATCAAAAGTGTTATATTATAATATTATTATTACTATTATTGATTAGTGCATCATAGCATAGTTTTTAGGTGTAAATGTCTTAATTTCTCTTTTGCTTTTGTTTTTGTTTTGTTTTGTTTTGGTGATAAGTGGGCCTCTCAGCTCTCTATTTGTGCTTGGAAGCCCAGGTACTACTTCTACTCATACTAAGTTTGGGAGAGGGCCTAACTATCAAGTTATTATTTGTTTGGGCCTAATGATGTGTGGCTGCTGGGCTCCATGGAGATGTGAGCTAGCACAGCCACACCCCACAGTGCTTGGGGAGAGATGTAGTGCCAGAGATCAAACTCAGGGCCTCACTCATGCATGTAAATCATACGCTTCACCTATTCAGCTAAATCCTTGCCCTAAAAGCCAGATTCTTTCTGAGATGAATTTTCCCCCAGCATGTGCTGCAGCTAAGATAGAGAAGGGAACACCAAGTAAAGGGTGTTTGGAGGATTCTCTCGGGATTCAAGACACTCACTGAAAGTAGACTATAGACCGAACACGATGGTCACTCAATACCTCTATTGCAAACCACAACACCCTAAAGGAAAGAGAAAGCAAAAGGAAATGCCCTGCCATAGAGGTGGGGTGGGGTGGGGGCTTGGGGGGTGGGAGTGCACTGGCTTCATTGGTGGTTGAGAATGGGCACTAGTGGAGATATGAGTACTTGATCATTGTATAACTGAAACCCAAACACAAAAATATGTAAGTCTACAACTGTACCTCATGGTGTTTCACTAATAAA